ATGTAAGCAAGGGCTTTTGAAGTACACATATGCAGAAATCTAGTCTGTGATGAACTGATGTCACTGGTTCCCATGCATCCTATGTTTACTTTAGGAACCAGTCATGTTTTGCAAGCATGCACGTGGAGCAGATACCCAACGTGGTGGAATAACATTATGCAGGGATTGTTTCACATGTCACAGCTTTACATTGCATTAAGTTTAGTCTTCTGATGTGTCACAGTGGAAGTTGAATTTTCCACCCCAGCGTTGATGATCATCAGCGGAAGTGGTGGTCCGAAATCTGGCAGTATATTTAATTTCGTAGACCTCCAGTTTGAGCAACGGCAACAGCAATGCCACAGGTGTGCATGTGAAATGGACTTCAACACACAATACTCTTGTGAAAATTTCATGCTTTGCACGTTTTACAGCCAAATCCCAGTTATAATTGCAAGGATTTTGCATCCATGTGAAATGTTGAAGGAGGTCTGGGACCTTGCAGTTCTGTTCAGTTCACTTTATTTTCCACATAATATTATATGTATTCTACAAAAACAGTTTCAAAGAGTGTATATACTGTATATGGATGGGGCCCCCAGGAAGCAGTGCTTGTCGAGTTGGGGTCCCCATTTAAAAGCAAAGTTCCACAAAGACAACAACACACTAACACTTTACAAATAACGCAACAAATTTTAAATACAGCACATGTACATGACTGTGTAGCCTTTGCCTGCTGTAACCCCATGAGAAAGAAATTGATCATTACTTACATAATTCACTAGTAATTTAATTTTATATTTGTGTTTAAATGCTGAAAGACTACATTGTAGAAGCACATTTCAAGGAAAAATCCACAGAACTCCATACCTACATGTTTCACGGTAAATGCAGCGAGCTTAGTATGTATGAATGAGCATTGAAATGCATCACTTTGCCCTGTAAAGTGGTGATGAAAATCTTCATTTCTTAAAAACATCGGCGGATAATCCTATTGCCTGGCTCAGTGGCCTCCTCATAAACACAGCTGTGTCACCTGACACACCAAATCCATTATCACCAATCCCTGTTGGTCGGCCGACTTGAACCAACACTGAACTGGACAGCCTTGCCTTCAGGCTGATCAGGCCCGTAATAATGTTACCAATAAGATAAAACAACAGCCCCGGTTGGAACATATGAGGGTTAAATAATGAGCTACCTAATACGTGAATAATCGTTTTCCCTGGCTGGAACTTACCAGGGATATCAGGTCCGCCTGGAACGTACCGGGTTGGTTATGTGTACCAGTAAATGTCCTTCTTTCATCTTTGTGAGGTTATTAATCTTGTTACTATTACTAACTATCTAAGTACGGAAGCTACTTGACTTACAATTAAAATTTGGAACTTGCTGTCTCTTTTCTGCTTTAAAATGCCACCCGCGCCGAGCACGCCCCACAGAAAAAAACAGCTACACGGTGGAAACCCCGGGGCAGGGGAGAGGGGTGTAGCTCATCCCAAAAAGGCCAAAACACACTGCCGAAGATTTGCTCGAAAGAGGCCATGCCCCACCGCAGACAGGTGCACAACGTCATGACGGTATAGGCTTGCATCTGTCCAGCGAAACTGTGGATGACGCAAGACATGCGCCCCTACGTGATTACAATAAGTTCGGGACCATTTATTAAGGGCCTGCCATTGCTTTTCCAAACTACGCTGGGATCGAGCGCTATAGTCATGATAGTAAAACATCTGTGGCAGTGTTGGACCATATAACTTGCTGTTTGCTAGCAACGGTGCCCAGGCCAACACCACGACTACGACAGAAAAAATTTTTTAAAAGGCGATGGATGGGGTATGATCCAAAACATCTGGTGGCCACCAGCCTTGCAGCCATTTCTCCTTGAAAAATGGACCCATAACCTACTGACACGGCTGCGTCCGTAAACAACTCTAGGGCGTCATTGTCCCAGCTGCCGGTCAGAAAGGAGGAAACGCTATTGAATTGTGAGAGGAATGCAAGCTACATGCGTAAATCGAGCCGAAATGCGGACCCATGGTGGGGCTTTGACAGCCCCCGCTATAATACAATGAACTTTCTCAAGAATGCCAGACCTGGGTAAATGGCCTTACAGACATAATTTAGGGACCCCACCAGCGACTGTCTGTCGACGATGGAAATCTTCTTTTGCCCTATAACTGTCTGAATCTGGGCGCAAGCACTTGGACCTTGGGTGCCTGCATGCAGATCAATCCCCGAACGGAGTCAATTTCGAGGTCTAGAAAACAAATAGTCTGCAGGGGACCAAATGTTTTCTCGGGGGCCAAGGGGACTCCCAATTGCCCACAGATTTCCGTAAACAAGGACAGCATACGTGCACAATCTGCTGCTGACAACCCCGCTAAAAGGAAATTGTCCAAATAGTGTGTAACAAACCGGAACTTGATCTCTTGCCTAACTTTAAACTCTAAGAAGGTACTGAAATATTCAGACAAAGAACAAGAAATCGAACAGCCCATAGACAAACACTTATCAAAGTAGAAATTGTTCTCAAATTTGAATCCCAGGAATTCATAAACCAACAGGCTAACCGGCAAGAGGCAAAATGCCGATTTAATATCGGACTTGGCTAACCATGCACCCGCGCCCACCTGCGTGACCAGCTCGACTGCCTCATCAAATGAGGCATATTGTTCCCTGCATTTAGCTTTGTTGATAAAATCATTGACCGATCCTCCAGCTGGAAAGGAGAGATGATGAATCAAGTGAAATGAGTTGGGTTCACTTTTGGGTTCCGACCCGATTGGAGAGCACTGCAAGCGCGGGAGCGGGCGTATGGTAAATGGCCAGGGGATACGACCCATGTTCATCTCTGTCTGTAATTTTACTCTAACCATCGCTGGTTGATGCGCCGCAGAGGGAAGACACTCAGAGTCCAGTGGCTCCCTAGCTCCAAAATACTCCACTGAAAACCCCTGTGAAAAACCGTTTAGCAAAAGAGCTACCGCCGCTTGGTCAGGATAATGTGTCAACCATTGCCGTAAAACGGCCACTCTAATTGGAGTTGGGGGTATGAAACTTGACCTGCTTATCAGCCTGAGCAACGTACTTAACCACTTCCAGCGGGGGGCTCCGGTACCGGAGCCATAGGCCTTATATTCGTGGCCGGGGACTCCGAAATCGGAACTTTACTGTAAAAAAAAAAGTTGCTGGGTGTTTCTTAAAAAGTTTGGAGCTGTCAGTTAAAAAGTTTAGGCCACCATTGGCCGTAAATAAATTGGTCCAAGGCAATAATGGATTGCTGGGGCCAGTGAATTAGGACTTTATTTTATAGCCGGGGTGACCGAACTTATAAAAGCCTGGAATAAAAGTACGAGCTGCTGAGAGCTGCCGGGCACCGCCAATCAATCCCTGTATTCTTTCAGCACAGAGCGCTGCAATAAGCGGAGGTAATCCGTGTATTGTTTGTGCAGAGCGCATTTGTTCGTGCTGCCGGGTGCTCGCAGGGGATTATCACTGCACTGCACTGAAGACAAAGCGCGGGCTGTGCGGGCTCATTATGCACCTGTGCCCCACGAATGACCCGGCCCGGGCGCTGCTGGCCCTTGCAACATTGACTGACAGGGCACGGCCCTCGCTGCTTGAGAATAAAATCGCCGTGCAGTGGCTACGTGTGTTCATATTGGGTATCATATTATTCAGAGCACAGACAACATGGCTGAAGTTATATCCCGAGAGTCCAGTTCTTCCAGTGAAAGTGAGTTTTATCTGAGTTCAGATGAAGGTTCTTCGTCTTCTTCACCGCCGTCACTTGCTCAAGTACAGTCAAGTACAGAAATTGACAGTGATATACCCTTGGCAGTATATGCCAAGCACAAGAGACAGTCCCGTACACAGACCGCCGCGTCGACCAGCAGCAGTGCCGCATTGTTCCGGTGGACAGATGAAGACAGTACACCACTGAAGTACAGCTTCACCGGTAATGGTGGTGCCGTCGATCCCTGCCTGCATGGCAGCTCGACCTTCAGTGAAGCCTTTGAACTGTTTCTTGACGACGTTCTCTACTACATGTACAAGATAGTGCAAGAGACCAGCCGGTATGCCG